TCCCAGCTCCTCTCTGCCGCCAGGCCATCGCCCGAGGCAGCACAGCTGGGTCGAGCCTGGCCAGGCCATGGCCCATGGCCCAGCTCGGGCCTCACCAACTGTAATGTCAGCGGCAGGGCCACAGGGGCCAGGAGATCCACGTCAGGGTCCCCAGCCCTGTGCTGCACCCAGCGAGAGCTGTGCTGTCACCTACGCGCAGGGGAACAGGCGACACAATGCCAGCTGCGCCTCCCCTGCAGCCCACCGCCATGCCGGCCCCTTGCCCACTCCTGCAGCGTGGGTCTCTGGGAAGCTGTGTGGGAAGCTCAGGAGGTTAGGATGGAAGGTCACCTCAGCATTTCAGTCACGGAAGATCAAACCAGGCCACGTTACAAACATCGCTACATCTACTGCTCTTCTCCTGTAGAAACCTGACATCCTTGGTAAAACAAAACACAACTTACAGCAGTCAAAATCCCCAAAGAAAAGTTCCCAACACAAAAATTAAAAGTAGACAGAAAAGGCTGAAGTCTTATGACAGATATAACTCACAATGTAATTTTTCTTCTTTTTTGTTTTTACAGGGAACAGGGGGGAAAAGACGAAGTGCAAATGAAAGCTACAACCAACTTCAGCTACTCTAGAAACAACAGCAACTGCACCAGCGATAACAAAATCAGTCAAGTCATTTTTCCTTTGCTTTATACAATCCTGTTTCTGGTGGGTATCACCATGAATGGCCTTGCAATGTGGGTCTTTTTTAAAATATCCAGTAAATCCAATTTCATCATCTTCCTCAAGAACACTGTCATTTCTGACTTCCTCATGATCTTGACTTTTCCATTTAAAATCCTTAGTGATGCAAAGTTGGTATCATGGGTACTGAGAGGATTTGTGTGCCAGGTAACCCAGGTTGTATTTTACTTCACCATGTACATTAGCATTTTGTTTCTTGGTCTAATAACTATCGATCGCTATCAGAAAGCCACTTCACCATTCAGAACCTCAACACCAAGGAGCCTTTTAGGTGCCAAGATCCTGTCCACAGTGATTTGGATAACAATGTTTGCTCTTTCATTACCCAACATGATTCTAACGAATAAGAAGAAAACACCTCAGAATGTAAAAAAGTGTGCTTTCTTGAAATCTGAGTTTGGCTTAGTCTGGCATGAAATCGTAAACTATATTTGTCAACTTATCTTCTGGGTTAATTTAGCAGTCATAGTTGTATGCTACATACTCATAAGTAAAGAACTGTACAAATCCTATAAAAGGACAAGGTGCACAGGAAAGGCGTCCAAAAAGACTGTAAATCTGAAGGTTTTCATCATTATCGCAGTGTTCTTTATTTGTTTTGTGCCATTCCACTTTACTAGAATCCCCTACACATTGAGCCAAACAAGAGACGTTTTTGAATGCTCTGCTCAGAACACCTTGTTTTACTTGAAAGAGAGCACGCTGTGGCTGACATCGCTAAATGCTTGCCTAGATCCATTCATATACTTTTTCCTTTGCAAATCATTTAGAAAGTCCTTGCTAGACATGCTGTGCAAGCACACAGCATCGTCAGAACTCAGAGCACAGATAAAGGAGCAGAATGAAGGAGATGACACAGATGAGACGCCACTCTAGAGCTAAGAACTA